TTTATTTTGTTTTACCAAACACATTTGATGTTCCATTTTTAAATAAGTTGTTTTTTTTTTGTAAATTTTATTTTAAAGCACCTCAATCTCAAACCAACCCTTAATCAATTTGGCTAAAACAATATGATCCACCCTTATTGCAATTTAGATGAATGATTTCACCCAAGTTCAAAGGGCAGGAAACTCGTACGGTTTTTCTTAATCATTAAAATGATAAACTGAAATAAAACGTACATTGCCTTATAAATTCGCATAAATATCCACAAAAGAAAACCCATAAGTAGCAGTACACTCCGTCGTCCATATTTAGTCCCAAAACTTGTTAGATTTGATCGTGAGTCCAAAGTGGGAGAAGTCCTTATCTAAATAGATAATTCGGATTTGAGATAAATATGTACGAGAGCAAGGAAGTACACTCAGGTTGCGCTTGTTGCACCGGATTATCTCGGATTGGATTAGCTTTAGGGACTAAGTTGGACTGGCTTGGCAAGGACTAAGCAGTACTAGAATTGTTAAACGCATGCTTGTTTTATCCTATGAATGTTTAAAACAGTGCAAATACACTCAAAATAGAAAAACTATGTATTTTTGACAAAAATTAAGCTTTTGATGTTTCGAGTAATCATTCTTAATGTCTTAATAGCGTATTATATTTGTTTATTTGCTTAAGTTCCAAAGGGTGTCAAACACACGCTTGTTTTATCCTATGAATGCTTAAAACAATGCAAATACACTCGGAAAAAAAAAATTGTGTACTTTTGACACTAAATAAGCTTTTGATCCTTTGATTACTAATTCTCAATATCTTAGTAGCGTATTTTCTGTGCTTATTTTCTTAAGTTCCAAATGATCTCAAACACACGCTTATTTTATTCCATGAATGCTTAAAACAATGCAAATACACTCCAAATAGAAAAATTGTGTACTTTTGACACAAATTAAGCTTTTAATCTTTCAAGTACTCATTATTAATATCATAGTAGCGTTTTACATGTGTTTATTTGCTTAATTCCAAAAGGTGTCAAATACACGCTCGTTTTATCCCATAAATGCTTAAAACAGTATAAATACTTTTGACAGACTAGCTAGGATTTATTTTTTATTTTTAACTATGAAAGTTTCTAATATTCTTGTCTGACTCTCTCTTCCCTCTATCATTGCCTTTCCTTTCCTTTGTCACTCATTCCCTTCCCTTTCTTGTAGCTTCTGTTGGATTTGGCATTAAATCAACATGACTAAACTAAAACAAGAATCAAACAAGGATTAGGATATCTTGGACGCAAGATATTTGGATTTGTGTTTGCTAGTTGGTTTGGGATTTGGTTTTATTATAGGATTTGGCTTCCTATATTCTAGGAACTTTGTGTAAACCCATGACATCTATTAGTATAAATAGATGGATGTGGGATAGAGTTTTGTGTGTGAGAGTTTTTGAGAGGCATAAGTTTGTATACTTGAGAACACTTTGTGTTCGTGAGTTCTCTTGTATTTGTTGGTAACCAATAAAACTTCCGTTGTTAGAGAAGTACTTTTATATTGAAGGAACTCTGAAATCATTATATTTTATTTGTTGCTTGATTGTTTTTTTGTTTAGTTTACAACAAGTGGTATTAAGAGCTTAGGTTCTTATGTGGGTTGTGACTATCAAGCAATGATGAAGACTGGTGATTCTACTGGTGGTGATGATGTTAAAGAAAAGTCTGGCACTAGTGGAACCAAGACGACAATTCAGAGTGCTAGGTTTGAAAATGAGAAATTTGATGGAATGAACAACTTTGCTATGTGGCAGTGTGAGGTTCGAGATGTCCTGGTATAACAAGGTTTGGTTGTTGTGTTAGGAGACATGCCGTTTTTGATAAAAAAAAAAGAAGAATGGAAAATATTGAATGCTCATGCATGCTCTACAATTCGGCTATGCATGGGAAAACAACAGAAGTATAGTGTGATGAACATAATTTCCGCAAAGGAATTGTGGGCTGCATTGGAGACAAAATATATGAAGAAGAGTGCAGAGAATCGATTGCATCTCAAGACCAAGTTGTATAAGTTCCAGTACAAAGAGGGCACGAAGATGATTGGCCATCTAGAAGAGTTTAATAAGCTTCTAGTTGAACTAGCAAATCTTGAAGAGATAATGAAAGATGAAGACAAGGCCTTGATCCTAATGAACTCATTGCCTGAATCCTATAACCTTTCGTGACTACTTAGATTTATGGCAGAGAGACAATTAAGTATGATGAAATTTCAAGTGCTCTTATGAATCATGAGGTTAGACACATTGACATGTAAGAAAGGAATAACTCTGCAGCTTTGATGGTGAGAGGGAAATCAAAAGAAAAGAAAGATTCATACAGGAAAAATAGTAGGTCTCGTACTACATGAGTCTCAAAGAATAGGAAATTGTTGGACAAAGATGAGTGTGCTTTTTTTTCATGAAAAAAGACATAAGGACTGCCCTAAAATCAAAGAAAAGACTAGAAAGAAGAATGATGACTCAGAAGCAACTGTGGATTATATGAAATAGTGGGTGCTCGACACAGGTTGTACCCATCACATGACTTCTCAAAGGCATTGGTTTTCAAGCTTCAAAATTATGAATGGAACTATGTATATGGGAGATGATAACCCATGTACAACTCAAGGAATTGGAAGCATGAGGATCAAGCATCATGATGGTGTGATTTGAGAATTGAATAGTGTAAGGTACGTCCCAAATTTGAAGAAAAATTTGATCTCACTAGGCACTCTTGAGTCACAAGGCTACAAGTTTTACTCCGGTAACAACGTGTTCAAAGTTGCTAAATGAGCACTTGTCATAATGAAAGGGCCTCAGAATGGCTTACTTTATATGCTACAAGGAAACACTTTGGAAAATGGAGTGACTATGGTAGCTGATGAGGTGCAAAGTGATAAAAGTGACTTGTCTGCATTATGGCATATGATGTTGGGACATGTAGGAGAAAAAACATTGCAAGGATTGATCAAGCAAAGGTGTTTAAAAAGAGCAAAAATTGGTAAGATAGAATTCTGTCAGCAATGCGTTCTTGGCAAACAAACAAAGGTGAAATTTGGCTCAACTATTAATTAAACGAAAGGGATTTTGTACTATGTTCACTTTGATGTTTGGGGGCCTGCAAAGAATGATTCCTTAGGTGGAAAAAGATGGTTTGTATCTTTTATTGATGACTACTCCCACAGATCATGGATATATATATGATGAAACAAAAAGACGAGGTTCATGACATCTTTCTAGAATAGAAGAACATGATGGATAACAAGACTGGAAATAAGATTAATATACTGAGAAGTGACAATGGAGGGGAATATACCTCTGATCCTTTCTTCAAAGTGTGTAAAAATGAGAGGATTACTTGGCATTTTAGTGTTAGACATACTCTATAGCAGAATGGGATTGCAGAGAGACTAAATAGGATCTTACTCGAGAAAGTTCGTTGCATGCTATCTCAAGCTAAGCTGCCAAAGAGATTTTGGGTAGAAGCTTTGAGCTATGCATGTCATGTGCTTAATCGACTACGATCAACAACATTGGAGGGTAGAATACCCATTAAAGTGTGGTCTGGAGAACCAGCTCAGGACTACGATAAGCTACGAGTGTTTGGATGCAATGCCTACTTTCATGTGAAGGAAAACAAACCGAATCCATATGAGCCAAGAAAGTTGTCTTTATGGGATTTAATAGTGGTGTGAAAGGCTTCAGACTTTGGTGTCCCGAGTTGAACAAGATTATAGTAAGTAGAGATGTGGCATTCGATGAAAGTCACATGAAATTGAAGGAAGATGTTCAAATGGTGGAGCATGGGGAAGATGATTGCATAGCCAAGTAAGAAAGCTGTGGAAGAAGAAAGACAAGGTGATCAACTTGAACATGAAGATAGTGATCACGAAGAAGAAACACCATCAGAAAAAATAAAGATACAAGATTATTGATTGATTTTTCAAATGGAGACTCGAAAGGGGTGTTCGCCATGGTCGTCACCCTGTAATTGGGGACTTGAACGAGAATATGATCGGAGTTCGTGGGTTCTCCGATCTGATTTGTGATTCTGGGTTTGGGGCGAGGAGAGAGTGGTGGTGGTCTGGTGGTGTAATCTCTCTGGAGTTGGCGAGTGTAGGTGATGGTGACTCTCGGTGTTTGTGAGAATAGAGAGCAGAGAAAGACGCTAAGTCTCTCTAGTGAAGGAGTTGGTCCAACCAAGACCCATTTAATCTCACTATAACTTAGTCCTAGCACAGAACAAACGCAAGACTACACTAATAATTAGTCTAATCCAATCCAGTGAAAGATAGGGAACCAAACAAACACACCCTCAAAGGAAAAAACCTACGCCACCTAAATTTGAAGAGTGAGAAACAACGTTTTGAGAAAGATAGTTTCTCTTACAGGACTATCCATCCTAAAGCTAGCTTTGTTTCTTGCTCTACCACCCTAGCCAGTGGCCTATCAATTTGAACATCTTGATTAATCTTATTTCATGAGTTCAAGGATTTATTATGCACGAGATTATTTATTGATGCATCATGTATCAACATTCCGATCATGGTGTTGGTACTCATTAATTATCAGTTTATTAATTGGTAAGTAGTACGATAGTGAAATATCTTTAATTTTTATCACAACTGGGTAAACATAATGGCAAATTGACAATATTATTTGTTCCTTCTTTGAATAATTAGATAGCCAGAGGATGATGGGTGGATTATAAAAATATGAAAAAGTGTTTGCGTATGTTAACAACTTTCCCAAGTTTCCCCCATCAAATAAACCAAAAAAACAAGTGAAATGAAGCAATGGTGCATGGTACTTTGAGAAGCCAAAGCCACTCTCAATCTTGTGGCCTTGTCAGGCTTCACTCTCAGATGGGTCAGCCCCAGTTGTCCATCATCATTCAGACTCTCACCCCACTTTTATAGACCCCACATCATCCCTAATGACCCCTACATACATCACACTTCCCCCCTTCTCCTTCCCTTCCCCTCCCCTCCCCTCCCCCACCCCCACCCACCACCACCCCGTTCTCCTCCTCCCTTCTCATTTTCCTTCTTCCAATTTCCCCATTTTCTCCTCCTGATCCTCAAAATTTCTCACCACACCCAAAACAACTACTCCTTTCTCCAATTTTTCATGGACAAGGTTGAGAGAGAGACTCAGGACTTCATGAACGTAGAGTCTTTCTCTCAGCTACCCTTCATCCGCCCCGCCCCTCCACTCAACAAAGAAAAGGGCATTCGGCTCTTCGGCATAGAATTTGGCGCCGACACCACTACTGACGACTCTGAGTCCCCTGATTACACCAATGCGTCCGAAGACACAAAAAGGAACAGTACCAACACCAACACAAACACCATCATCAACAACAGCAGCAACAAAAATAATAACAACAACCAAAACGGAAGCGAGAGCAGCAGGAGATTCGAATGCCATTACTGCTGCCGAAACTTCCCAACCTCCCAAGCCCTTGGGGGACACCAGAACGCGCACAAGAGAGAGCGCCAGCACGCGAAACGCGAACACCTCCAGTCGGCCATGGTGCATGCCGGAGGCCTATCTCATGACGCACACCACGTGTACGGCTTGATGAACTACACAAGACTTGGCTCCTCAGTTCATCATCATCCCAGTCCTAACTATCCATCATGGAATATTAGTAACTCTAGCTCTACTATAACTAGTGCTCATCACCATCAGCATCATCATGCTAGGTTTTATGGAAGCTCTGGTGGTACGTACGGCACACAATCAGCTCCCATAAATGGGAGCCCCTTGGCCTTGTGGCGGATCCCAGCCGTTCAAGGTACTAACCCTAATTCCAATCGTGACCGTTCGATGAATTTGTTCTCCGGCGGGGAGGAAATGAAGGCGTCCGTGGTCGGTAGTGGATCGTCCGGTGGTCATCAAGGGCGGTACGTGTATGACTCGTCGATGGCGAGTGTGCAAGATCATGTGAGTTTGGATCTTCATCTGTAATAACAATATATATATATATATAGTTATTTTAATAATTGATTACTTAATTAATTGCTACTATTCTGAGAGAGAGATTTTGAGTGTTGAAATTAATTCTCATGATGATGATGGTGGGATAATCTTTTGGAATGCAAATGAGGCCAATTTTAGTCAAAATTTTTAGTAGGATTCAGTATGCAAATGTGAAATTATGTTATTGAGTTTGACCAATATATGTACGGAGAAATTTTATGAGCATTGGGAACGCATTCTTGATTCTGAAAGTTAAACCACTGTCACGAGCAAGAAAGCCGCTATTTTTGGGATGTAAATTTTCGTTTTAATTCGTTCAAAGGAAAACAAATGGTAGCAGCAAACTAATAAGTTGGTTCACAGCAATGTCTGTCCGCTATTTTTGGGATGTAAATTTTCGTTTTAATTCGTTCAAAGGAAAACAAATGGTAGCAGCAAACTAATAAGTTGGTTCACAGCAATGTTTGTCTCCTCCTTTAGTGTTTTAACTTTTCTGCCACACGTGTGAGGAATATATGGTATCAGTTAGGGGGTGCATAAGCTTTTGTTAATGCATTTGTTTGTTGGTCTAGACAGGTGGGGTGATGAGATAGGTGAAATCTGATTCAGTGTATGTGCGATCAGGTGATAAGGTTTGATGAATAGTGTTCAGCTTCTGCCTCATAATATGCAGAAAGAAAATGATATATCCATGGAATTTGCAGGTGGCATTGCTTACTGCAGTTGCAGCTCTACTTTAATATATACATCTTGCTTATTTTCAGTGCCATTGATTTGAGAGAGAGAGAGAGAGAGTTATCTCTATGCATCCATGAAAGTTTAAATTATATCTTGTTTTTCTTAATGAATAAAGGGGAACCTCCCTATTCGTGACATTGAGCAGGCAAAAGGAGCAATCTGAAGGCCACTAAATTTACTTGATTGGGCTTTTTTCTTTCTACGTTATTGATATTTACATCTCAGTTTATTATTTTGCACTTAAAAAATTATTACCGTAAAAATGCTTTAGAAGAAGTGGAAGACGACAGTATGAGAGTGAATAATATAACTATTTTTTGAAAGAAAAAAAACCAAATTAATTATATGCATGGAGTAGCTGCAATATATATGTACATATATATACTTGGTCTGAATAATATATGTATATGATTTTGATCATGTGAGATTATGAACTTGTGGGACCTAATTGGTTGATTATATAAGCAACAGTTTGAAATGTGGTTCTGATGGGAAAAGGAGCTAGCTAGCCTGATGAAAAATCAGGGTACAGTATGGTATAGTAGGACTGAATGAGATATCTAATCATGAATGGGGGTCATTTCAAAAATAAAGCAATAACATGATAGGCTAGTGATGTATATACTAAGTTGAGGAAGGTCTACAACTAGGAATCAAACATGGGTCACTTCCCTGTGCCTTATTCGAATCACAGTATTCATCATTCAAAGGCAGCACTACCAAAACTTTCATGGCTTTAAAATGGCAAACCGAATCGTTCGAAAAAGCATGTTTCCCCCGCTGCTCTCTATGTGAGACCTTGAAGCAACCCTCGCTATGACATATCAAGATGGTAGTTACTAGTTAGACTCCCATCTTTCTTTCCCCATCTTTTGTACCTTTCCTCTAGTCTTATGTTCGAGAGAGCGGAGAAATTTTTATGGATGCTAGAAACACAAGTCACTTAGTGTATCATTTTATGTGTTATAAGAAGAGTGAAGGATATTGTTGATATGTTCCACTTCTAGAGTATATTAGTAAAAAATAATTCTAAATATTATAATTTGAGCAAAATAATTATGTCATGAGTCCGTATTTCAGATACATAAAAAAATTACTGAGAGAGATTGACAGATGGAAAGAGAGAGATGGTAGGTGGCTTAGTTTTAGGTGTGTGGGATAACTGTAAAATGTACAGAGTTTTATCAAGTGAAGAAGATTGGACATGGGAGGAGCATTCATTTTTCTCTTTCAACAATAATTCAGTTAGGATTGATGGGTTTTAATCAATCTGTTATTGCATGTGTGAGAACACAATATGGGGTCGGAATATATTTTAGCTTGATAGTGGACTTAACGAATCTCATACAACTTATACAACTCAAATCATCATAAAGATGCTAAAATATTGTTCACCATTTGATGTCGGGATTTGTGTTTTGTCTCAGTCTCTTGCAAAACTTTATGGAAAAATATGTACTGTACAACGGTTGTCTCTGTTTGTTTCCTTCTACTGAAAAACATTAGTAGTACCACTACTTGTTTGTTTTTCTGTGTGCGTTTTAATTTTATATATTGTTTTTCTTTTCCATGGATGAAAATAAACTACACAGAGTACATAAATTAATTAATTTTAGGGTGTAACTTTGATTTTTTTGTATTCATTTATGAATTAGTCAGATTACAAATTAATAAGGAATCTCGACAATGCTCATCTGCTAAAATGTATAGCACAATCTTAATTATGGTTGTGAATTGGGATAGTTTAAAATATTGTTCTTAAAGAGCATAGTTTTCCTTGTGGAACAAGCCACTAGAATCTAAACGATGCCCTTTTGTTGCTTACTTGTGCAATACATTCATCCCTCATTAGATTAAGTCCTTGGAAAAAGTTGCCCAAATAATTCGATCTCTCTAACTAATTATTTGAAGCATTTTTGGAAGATGTCTATTCATTAATTAATTCGTTAACATAATAACTATCACATTACGCCACTTTTGTTTCACTGGTTCTTATGTATAGCTCATACAAGTTTTCCACTAATAATACTGGACAGTGACTCTGTTAATACTACACAAGCAATAGATATACCATTCATTAGCATATGAACAAAAGATAATTTTGCAGAGTAGCTATATGAAGAAATCCTAAGGACATTTACAGTAAGCAAAAGTATTTGGGCAGTAATGTGATCCAATATAAATAGATTAGCATAGATCCGAAGCAAGTCACCCTCACTACTAGGAAATGGGAAAATGAGCTGTTATTCCCATTTAAATTCCAAGTCAGTTAGGTGGAGATTTTGTCTCGAAACCAAATTAAGAAACTCTTTCAAGAACTTCCTATCTACTAATATCACTAATATATATTTTGTCCAGGGTATTGAATATGTTACCATAGTACAGAAGCCAAAAGAAATACCAAAATTAAAGAAATATGGTATTATTTGCTAGCTGATTAACTTGTCGAGGGTATTGAACATCCAAATAAACACCTTTTTTTGGTGTGATATGCACATACGTATGCACCCCTTGCAATTTGAAGCAGGACTTTAAATATTTTTGGTATCCGAATCTCAACCTTGGAGATATAAACCAGTAAATAGGAGAAAATAGCAACCTGGTGAGGGTATTTAGTTCATCATGTGTGGTTGCAAGCATCAAATGGGAAATAATAAGAATAAAGCATTAATGAAGTACTCCCTTTCGTATTTTTTTTGAGCTTGTACTATTCATACCATTAAATATCTTTTGTAAAAGAAATTTCATTTTCACTTTTTTTTTTAGTGAACAAAAGTTTAGGGGGAGGGGAGACTACCGCATCTCCATCTCTAGAGCATATCACAAGCCTCTTTGAGAACTTACTGAGAGGTATGTGCCCTCTTTGTTTGTTTTTACAAAATTGCCCACCAATACAAAATTGCTGACAGTGGGATTCAAACCTTAGTGGGGCAACAAACAAGTAAGGACCTTACCAATTGAACCCAACCTGTGTTGGCACTTTCACATTTTGTTACTATTATTTGCCAAAGAAAATAGCTAAATGTTTTTTACAGCTTGTACCATACAGTAGTATTTAGGGTTCTTGACTTAGAAGCTCGAAAATTGACATTTTCCTTTTGTGTGAAAGGAAATCCTTAACTTTATTGCATATTTTCTTTGGCGATGAAATCATGTGAAATTATTTCTTTAAGAAATAATGCATGATTTGTTAAAAATAAATAAATAAATAAAGAAATATGCATGATTTTCCTTTTTGCGCGCCCGTAAATTTTATTGCGTTTTTTATTTTATTTTTTCACATTGAAGTCATTTTCATGTTTCATGTGTTTCTTTTGGTGTAATCTATTATCTTGGGGGTGAATTCTTTTCCTGTCATTATGTTTTGTCTCGATTTTAATTTTTGAAAATATATGACTTTAGCCTCTGGAACATAATTTTCTCCACATAAAACCCGACGTAAATTTTTTGCTCGAATAAACCCATTGATTAGACTCTACATAAGGAAATTCATTAATTATGTTTAACTTTACCCATTTAAAATTTTTCGGATGCCTAAAACACCCTTATTGAATGTTTAATGTACACAGTTAATTCTATGCAAATTGTAAGGGGGAATTAATGATTTTACAAAAATAATATTTTGCATATAAATGTAGGGATTTGTTGGTTAGTTTGGCTCTCGAATTCCAATTTACCATTACAACGTGTCCATATTATATATAGGTAAATTATTGTACTTTAAAATATATAAAAAAATTTGTTGTCAAAGTAAAAATATATAAATTAAAGGGGATAAAATTTTCAGGTAAATAAAGGTTTATATACCATATTGGAGATAAAAATTCCAATTTACCATTACAATGTGTCCATATTATATACAGGTATATTTTATTTATATATTGTAGGTAAATTACAGATTACAGGGCGATATTATTTATATAGGTAAAGTAGGGATGTTTAACTATTATATATGAGGAGAATAATTTACACCGAGTAGTAATGTAGTCATGATTTAAAGTAATGCACTAGATTGTTGTAGAAATTAAAAATAAATAAATAAATAAAACATCTGGATGATTAATCAGATTTTCAGGCCCTTGATTGAAGCTAATTTTCAAGTGTGGGTTGTGGCAAAAATTGTAAATAATTTGTATTAGTAGGTTACTTAGTATTCTTATGTGGCAGTTTGTTAGATGTTTAATTATATGTGGGTTTATGTTTAAAAATCATGATTTTTTAGGACCAATATCTAATGAACCCTTTTAAATTTTGGTTACATGTTTTGTTTTGTTAGCAAATTAAGCACAATTGTAAAAATTTCTTTCTTTCAAATCACAACCATTTTTTTTAACTCATGAATTTTACTCAAGAGCTGTTGGAAATCATGTCTATAACCTAAAATATTTAATTTTCAAACAAGAAATGAAGTAATTCCAAACTAAGAGTTAAAATCTTTAAAATTCAAATTTATCATGAAAACAAACAATTAGAAGAAAGGAAACTAGCTTTCAAAACATATGGCTTTTCAAAATGAAATTCTGAATTTCATCTAATTAGTTACCACATTGTCCAAAATTACTATATAAAAAAAAAACAATGTCAAAATTAAGAAAATAAAATTGAAGTGTGGATTGCCCTGGTTGATAGATTATTCTGTAGGAAGTTGAGGTTCCATCACGTGGAGGACACGATAGATAAACTTCTCTAAAGTTAGAAAAATAAGTTGAGACTACAACATAAAACCATTTGGCAATATGAGGAGCAGCCCTACTAACTATAAACGCATGTAACACATTCCTCTCCAAAACATTATGTCCCACGTTCAAACCTACTTATTTTCCATGATTTAGATGAATTTAGTGTAAATTACTTTATCGGTTATTTAAAGAGAAAATGCAATTTCCCTTAAAACCGCACCTTAATCATGTAAAGTGAAGGAATCAAAGTTATATTCGTTTCAACACCACAAAGGGTTAAGATGTTGATTTTTTATCATTAGCAAGAAGAGTACTATCAAAGGACGAGAAAATGAAAACATTTTTAAGGGCAACAATACTTATGTATTTACAAAATTAAACATGCATGTGAACTTTTTTCCATTAATATTCAATATTATAAATTTTCCTTTTATTTTATAAACAATGTTCAGTCTAATAGTAATTGGTGAAAAAAAAGATAAAGGAAATA